ATTTTAATCATTGATAATTTATTTTAAAATATTAAATATTAATTTATAAATAATTATAATAAATAAAAATTAAATAAAATAAGAAGTTAATTTTTTTTTACAAATCTTCTCATTATAGAAAAGTTCATAAAAAATACTTTCATAAAGGTTCATATTTAATATATAGGAATATTAATAAGTAACTTTACATTACATAAATATTTTCTGGGAATATTTTGTATGCACATATCAAAATGTACAAGTAGTTTAAAATATAATTTTCATATATGGAAATAGAGATGCATTTGGATGCTTCCTCCAAATGTAACTCTATTGATTTTTTTTTCATTTTTTATTTGGTGATAATAACACGAACTTTAGTTTATTTTCCTTTTATTTTTATTTTAACAATTTCAATGAGAGAGTTTTCATAGTGGATTTTCTAACATGTTCAGAGTCTTAAAAAGACAAGTCAAGCCTTGAAATAGTTTATTTATTTTTGGATATAATGCCTTAAAATAGCTTGTATATAGTAAATAGTTTAAGTCGTGTTTTGTCCATTGTTGGGCTCAACCTCTGGCAATTCTATATTTAATTTCTTTTGGAGAAAAACCTTTCAAGAAATCCCTCGGAAAAAGAAATAAAATTATTTTGAATAGAAATTGAGCGAGCCCTTGAATTTGCCCTTTACCTTAAGTCCTTGAATGAATTTTGTATTTTTTTTTTAATTTTTTGTATTTTTTTAGTTGTAAATTATAATAGCAAAAAGAATACGCAAAATCGCTCAATACGATAGTTTCTCTATAAAAAAAACAACACAAATTACGTTGTGCGGAATGTACTTTTAAAAAAAAAAAAAAAATCCATTGCATTTTTTGTCCAACGTATCTTTGTCAATTCATAAATTTGTTTTGTTAAAATAAAGACATTTTTTCTCCTAATTTTAAATTATAAAATTTTAGTTCTACCATCACCAATTTTATCAATTTTCAATAATGATTAGAAAATACAAACAATACTTATAATATTATATAGTATTATGTAAGTTATTTCCATTAAATGACTCCTAAAACATCTCTTACTTGCAGGGACAGAAATAGGTGTAGTTGCCCTTCCTAAAAACTGAAAGATTGCTAGCATCCCACACTTTAAAGATAAAATTCACTCCTTTTAATATTTAAATTTAAATGACCAAGTTCTCTTGTTGGTAGCTTGTAGAATATCTCACCAATTGGATAGCTTGTATATCTCACCGATTGGAGGGATGAGAGCATTTTAAAGAATTAACCCTTATATAATAAATACAAATCTTTATGAGAATATTGTTAAGATTTTTTTTTAGATAAAAAGGATTTTTAGGCATAATCTTATTTAATTTAATTTTGTTATCATAATTATTTATGAATTTTAAAAAATAAAATATCAATAAATAAAAATACTATTATGTTATAATATAAATTATTTATTATAAATTTAAAATATAATTTATATTTTTAAATATCTATTTATACAAATTTT